GAGAGTATATGATGATTATAACATGATAATATTGAATTGGTATTGATTCTTACCATTATTGACATGTAAGAATGATACCTTTGATCAATTAGGACAGTAGCTTGGCAGATATTCCAATTATATAGATATTGATTTCTATCACTCAGAAACGTTATCAATATCAATTATAAGAGTAGTGGTATGATACTCTATCTTGTTGCAACTCTTGATATTGACTTTTCATATTGCCATGAGTAGTTGCTGACATGGTTGAATGACATGAATGTTGAATGATGTCCAAATGATATGAAATTGATAGGAACATCATTATATGATGTTAATAACATATTGTATCAATTTGGTAATGAATCTCATTATCCTTAGGGTACTTCCATATTGAGGTACCTTAATTGACTATCTCAATATTTAATATGAGATATGATATTTATTTCAATTCTATCATGTTATATATGTAATTTGAAGCATTTTGATATCAGTTTTGATATATAATTATGATTTATTAGACATTTTATATAGCTACTCTTAGTTTTTCAAAATTGACTTTGAGATACCCTAATTGACCATATTAATATTACCAATTGATGAAACTAATATCAATCGACTAGATTTTCAATTGTGAACACAATGGTATCAATAGTGTGTGGGTTTGTGTTTGGGTTTGGGTTTGGGTTTGGGTTTGGGTTTGGGTTTGGGTTTGGGTTTGGGTTTGGGTTTGGGTTTGGGTTTGGGTTTGGGTTTGGGTTTGGGTTTGGGTTTGGGTTTGGGTTTGGGTTTGGGTTTGGGTTTGGGTTTGGGTTTGGGTTTGGGTTTGGGTTTGGGTTTGGGTTTGGGTTTGGGTTTGGGTTTGGGTTTGGGTTTGGGTTTAGGGTTTGGGTTTGGGTTTGGGTTTGGGTTTGGGTTTGGGTTTGGGTTTGGGTTTGGGTTTGGGTTTGGGTTTGGGTTTGGGTTTGGGTTTGGGTTTGGGTTTGGGTTTGGGTTTGGGTTTGGGTTTGGGTTTGGGTTTGGGTTTGGGTTTGGGTTTGGGTTTGGGTTTGGGTTTGGGTTTGGGTTTGGGTTTGGGTTTGGGTTTGGGTTTGGGTTAAGGTTTGGGTTTGGGTTTGGGTTTGGGTTTGGGTT